AGGGAACTGGAACGGCCTGTGCTCTGCGGCAGTTCAGACTAGATGATCTAATGGCCCCTTCTGACCTGGCGCTCTGTGAATCTATGAAAGAGAAACCCCATGCAGCGCCGTCTCTCAGCGCGGGGCTTGCTGTGTCCAGGGGCTGAGGGCCTTGGCATGGGGCCACGAGGGGGAGTCATGGTGCTGGTGGCTGGAGTGTCCCATGGGGTGTGGCCCACCTGCCCAATGGAGAGGGCCTAGCTGGGGGTGGCTTGGCTGGAGTGCCCGGAGCCCACACCTGACACACTTCCCTCTCCGGCTGCTCCCAGGACATCCTGGAGAACGACAGCATCAACCTGGACTGGATGTTCCGCTACTCGCTCATCAATGACATTGTGAAGGTAGGAGAGCGTGGGGCAGGGCTCCTCTCTGCCCTGGACCTGCGGGTCTGGGGCCCTGCTAGCACTGGGGGAGCAGCGCTGGGGTGAGGGAGCTCTGTGGCCAGACAGCGTCACCGGCCCTGCAGGCATCGCTCCCTGCTCTGGGCTGTGGTGTTGGTGCTGGCGGGGGGGAACCCTGTTAGGCCCCACCCCATACTAGGGAACGTGCCAGGGAACCACCTGTCCCTGCTCTCGGTGCCTCGGGGAGTGTGGAGCCCCGTGGCACCAGCCCGCTAGCCAGGGTGGGACTAGTCCCTGCTGGTAACCCCTGGGTAGCTGTGGCTGGGTCATGCCAGCTCTTGTGCCCCCTGGGCAGTAGGGGGTAGAGTTTCTGCCCTGATGGGGTGCCCCCGGGTTCTGGCTGGGGGGTAGGTCGGGGCTGTCTCCTGGTCTGGAAGCCCCAGGGGTCCCGACGGGCAATGTCTCAGCAGCGTCTGTCTGGCACAGGGAATGGCCTTTCTGCACAACAGCATCATTGGGCACCACGGCAGCCTCAAGTCCTCCAACTGCGTGGTGGACAGCCGCTTCGTGCTGAAGATCACAGACTACGGGCTGGCCAGCTTCCGCTCCAGCTGTGATGCCGAGGACAGCCACGCGCTGTATGCCAGTGAGTGCCCCCCCCAGCCCGGAGTGCACCTGCTCTCCACCCTCCCCCTCCTCCCCAGGAGCCCCGCTTCCTTCCCTGCCAGCAGCATTTAACGATGCGGCCTCTGGCGGGACACTACTGAGAGTATCAATTGAGGACAAATTGCTCAGAGCAGGGCAGTTACAGCCCAAGGCTGGGGTTTTTCCACCTCTAAGGCACCAAACCAGCCAGAGAGGATTCGGTCTCACCCCACTGGCTAACCACAAGTCTCACAAGCAATTCCCTCAGACACTCCAGTTTCCCAGTATCACCACCAGTACCACTCGTTATGGGGACAAATGGTTATGAAAACCAATACCCCAGTAAAAGAAAAAAGGTTCTCCTGATCCCAAAGGACCAAGCCCCAGACCCAGGTCAATATACAAATCAGATATTACCCACAAATCACGCTGTTGCCAATCCTTTAGAATCTAAAATCTAAAGGTTTATTCATAAAAGGAAAAAGATAGAGATGAGAGTTAGAATTGGTTAAATGGAATCAGTTACATACAGTAATGGCAAAGTTCTTGGTTCAGGCTTGCAGCAGCGATGGAATAAACTGCAGGTTCAAATCAAGTCTCTGGAATACATCCCCCGCTGGGATGGGTCATTCAGTCACTAGCGTAGCTTGCAGGGTGCAGGGGAAGCAGACGCTTCCCCGGCTTTCCAAAAGCAGCCGGAGGAGCGAGGGGGGCGCGAGGTTGGTGGCCCGCAGCGCGGCTGGCAGCCATGGGGGGGCGGCGGGGGCGGCCGGAGGAGCCAGGGGGTGGGGCGCGAGCACGGCGGTCGGAGGA